CAGGAAAGTTGCTGTTTCGGGTCAGGATCCTTCTTCAGAGCTTTCCTGCTCCTCTGATACAGCCTGGCCTTCTGTGTTCCTCCAGCTCCACACTGTGTTATCTCTGACTTCAGCAATGGCAGATCTTAATATTTCTGAAATTTACTCAAGTCTTGTTCAAGTGTTGAAAGCAGAACATATTTTTGGACCGATGGCAGTACCCAGTTAGTGGAAAATACCAGAGTCATAGTCATTGCACAGTGGACGTGTCAAACAGTACATAATCTGTTGTTTAAATTTTTAAGCTACTTGCCAGTCCAAGGTAACCGAGTAGACAGGCACTACTCAGGTCTGAAAATGTCAGTCTTTGGCCCATTTGAGCATTCCTTCTCCTGCAATATAAATTGTTGTGATCTTTTGAAATATGTTATTCTTGCATTTGTCCTGATGAGTGCACCATTTTTTCCCATAAGAGAAGTTTTGTTCTGACTGTTCATTCTGTACTTTGGAGTTTAAGTTGCCTTTAAAAGTGTTCAGCAAATGTCACTTAGTTCATAATATTATATTATGTTATATTAGCAGTCTTAAAATTCGCAATCTTGCCAAGTGACCTTTCGACTGGTCAGTAGAAAACCAAATACCTTTTAATAAGTCGTTGGCCTCTGAAGATGGTGTACCAGTTTAAGTTGCAAAAGTGGTTTATTAAAAATGCGGCAAAATATACTGTTATAACATAGGTAATTTAGTGATATAGATAGTTAGTCCATCAGCTAGTTTAAACCAAATGCAAAGAAGCCTTGCGATGAATCAATTTTATATGTGCCTCAGTTGGTTCAGGCAAAAAATAATTATACTGATAAATAGAATTCAAGTTCAAAACCTGGTTTGCAATGGCTGACCTTCAACTGGTGGTATCAAAGTAATGCAATTGACATCAGCAATCTACCTTAGAGACAGAAGCTGCCCAAGGTTTTTGTCCTCAACTGCTACCCTGGTGACCATACACTGGAACTTCACATCAGGACAAGATCAGACACAGTATAATGTCCTTGAACACTGGAAATGAAGCATTTTGGAACAAATATCCCAACTCCAAAATTTATTCATTTAACCTTCAATTTGTCTTAACTTGTCTGCAATGAAATCACAATGTGTCAAAGTCAGATAACTAAAATTTTTACTGTGTCAAAGTCAGTGCATCGTACCAACAGAAAATCAAATCCCATTGAGCAATGCCTGAGATAAGATTAACTTTCACAGACTACTCCAAATTGTTGAACTTGGAGAAGGGTTTTATTGGATCAGCTGCCTTGTGAAACAACTTGCAATTACATGGTACAAACACTAGGTGCCTAAAAAGGAAAAGTTCATACAGATTTCAAGTTTAAAAGAATAAGGCAGAAAGATTGGAGGTATTTCCCAACGAGACACCAATAGTATTCTAGATGTGTAATCTGCCCAAGCTATGATCTGGCTGCTGTCAGCACAGGCGGTGTTTGGCAAATGCACAATATCAGGGTCTCTTTAGAAAATCCTCAGAATTTTATTCATTTTCTTGTAAAAAGTTTGTAATCTGTCCAAAAGACAGACTCAGAGTTTTCATATAAAAGACTGATACTATAATTGCCCACTTAGTTTATCTCCTGTCAGCTGCAATGTCACATGCCATCATGCAAATCACAAAGCTCCATTTGACTCAAATTTTGAGCTTCAGTGATTGAATTTAAGAGATTTTGCTGTTTCTTGACAACTTGTTTTTTGCCGTCACCACTCATGGTTCAAGAAAATATGGTGACCAGCACCAGGTCCACTTTGGAACTAATAAAGTGAAGGGTACCCACATGACCTGTACTCTGGTGTGAAGCAAATGTATTCAACAGGCTGAGAAAATAGGTGAAGAGTTATTGATAATTGAGTGATTCAGTACCTGAGAAACTTACGGTCAAAAACAAAGATTGCTACCCTTTTCATCAGGAACATTGTCTAAATATATTCTTTCATACAAAAAAAGCAATTTAGTTTATGATTTGTAAAATCTTGCACTATTTCTCACAGTACACTACACAAAACTCATTAACCAGCAAAAAAAAAAGGCAAGCTATTTCAAGGGTTTCAGTAAGAGGTAAAGCCATCTGCCACTACACTGTAGCAATATTAGTGATGCTAACAAGGTTCTCCCCTCAAGCTAAAAAGACATTCTGCCTATCGGACAAGCAAGTAATAATGAATATCAGCATAGACCTAATGTTAGTTATTTAAGCCACACATCCAAATGACTGGCAGAACAAATTAAATAGCACAGCTCTTTGGCTGTTGGCACAGACAAAGGCACCAACCATATCCAACTAATCTGTAAAAACCGAAAGAACTGCAGATGTGTAAATCAGGAGTAAAAGCAAAGTTGCTGGAAAAGCTCAGCAGGTCTGGCATCTGATTTTTTTCTTCATAGATGCTAATGTTTCAGGTCCGGTGACCCTTCCTCAGAACGGATGGTGGCTGGGAAAAGGTCAGTTTATACAGTTATATACTATAAACTGACCTTTTCCCAGCCACCATCCATTCTGACGAAGAGTCACCGGACCCAAAACCTTAGCATCTGTGAAGAAAAAAAATCAGAGATGCCAGACCTGCTGAGCTTTTCCAGCAACTTTGCTTTTGTTCCCAACTCGTCTGTGTTTGCAAAATTCAAAAGTGTCCAACATTAGATGTGATTTCATGACTGGACAGCATTTGCTAAATAATATTGTGAGGGGGCAAGAGTTACATTCACAACCAATTTAAGATCATTAGTCAGGCTTGCAGTATGGTACAAAAACCACCACAGAATTAAGCCATTCTCAACTGCGATGCCCATGAAACTAATCACTGACTGTCAGAAAGACCCATCTGTCATCCTTACTTGTGCTAGCTTATACGCAACTCCAGATCACCAAGAACATGACTGACTCAAGACTGCCCTCTGTAATGGCTGGTTGAGCATTGGGTCAAGGGCATTTCAAGACGGGCAGCAAATGCTAAAATTGCCAGCAATGCCCATATCTCAAAATAACAAAACTGAATCAAAATATATGCTTCTGAACAAGAAAGAACAAAGAACAAAGAACAAAAAGTTACAGCACAGGAACAGGCCCTTCGGCCCTCCAAGCCTGCGCCGATCCAGATCCTCTATCTAAACCTGTCGTCTATTTTCCAAGGATCTGTATCCCTCTGCTCCCTGCCCATTCATGTATCTGTCTAGATACATCTTAAATGACGCTATCGTGCCCGCCTCTACCACCTCCACTGGCAACACATTCCAGGCACCCACCACCCTCTGCGTAAAGAACTTTCCACGCATATCTCCCTTAAACTTTTCCCCTCTCACCTTGAAATCTTGACCCCTAGTAACGGAGTTCCCCCACTCTGGGAAAAAGCTTCTTGCTATCCACCCTGTCTACACCTCTCATGATGTTGTAGACCTCAATCAGGTCCCCCCTCAACCTCCGTCTTCCTAATGTAAATAATCCTAATCTACTCAACCTCTCTTCATAGCTAGCGCCCTCCATACCAGGCAACATCCTGGTGAACCTCCTCTCCAAAACATCCACATCCTTTTTAGTAATGTGGTGACCAGAACTGTACGCAGTATTCCAAATGTGGTCGAACCAAAGTCCTATACAACTGTAACATGACCTGCCAACTCTTGTACTCAATACCCCGCCCGATGAACGAAAGCATGCCATATGCCTTCTTGACCACTCTATCGACCTGTGTTGCCACCTTCAGGGTACAATGGACCTGAACACCCAGATCTCTGTGCATCAATTTTCCCCAGGGCTTTTCCATTTACCGTGTAGTTCGCTCTCGAATTGGATCTTCCAAAATACATCACCTCGCATTTGCCTGGATTGAACTCCATCTGCTACTTCTCCTCCCAACTCTCCAATCTATATTCTGCTGCATTCTCCGACAGTCCCCTTCACTATCTGCTACTCCACCAATCTGTAAACTTGCTAATCAGACCATCTATACCTTCCTCCAGATCATTTATGTATATCACAAATGACAGTGGTCCCAACACGGATCCCTGTGGAACACCACTGGCCACAGTTCTCCATTTTGAGAAACTCCCTTCTACTACAACTGTCTCCTGTTGCCCAGCCAGTTCTCTATCCATCTAGCTAGTACACCCTGGACCCCATGCGACTTCACTTTCTCTGTCAGCCTACCACGGGGAACCTTATCAAACACCTTACTGAAGTCCACGTATATGACATCCACAGCCCTTCCCTCATCTATCAACTTCCTCAAAAGAATTCTATCATCAAGTTGGTAAGACATGACCTTCCCTGCACAAAACCATGCTGCCTATCACTAATAAACCCATTTTCTTCCAAATGTAAATAGATCCTATCCCTCAGTATCTTCTCTAGCAGCTTCCCTACCACTGACATCAGGATCAATGGTCTATAATTACCTGGATTATCCTTGCTACCCTTCTTAAACAAGGGGACAACATTAGCAATTCTCCAGTCGTCCGGGACCTCACCCGTGCTCAAGGACGCTGCAAAGATATCTGTTAAGGCCCCAGCTATTTCCTCTCTCGCTTCCCTCAGTAACCTGGGATAGATCCCATCCGGACCTGGGGACTTGTCCACCCTAATGCCTTTTAGAATACCCAACACATCCCCCCTCCTTATGCTGACTTGACCTAGAGTAGTCAAACATCTATCCCTAACCTGAATCATAAGTTGATAAGAATTGACGAATTTTACACATACGTCGACATTCTAAAGCTGAAACAAGAGTGAAGGAAGCTAGTAAGATTTACAAGGGGTGGGGCCAGAGACATATTTATTAAAAACTGATAAACCATCTAAAACCTGCACAAAACTTTGAATAGCAATTGGGACACATTCAAAAGTCAAATTTTTTTTTTTTATTTTTTAAATTTGTCATGCACAGCCTAAACACCTGGCAGAAACATTTCTCAACATTTTATAACCTTGAAAGAACGTGACAATGTAAACCGCATGACTCACCGTACTTTTATCTTTCAGTAGCTTTTCTATGATCTCGATCAATGGTTCTTTTTGCTCTGCATCTAGACTTTGGTTGAAACAAAAATAAAAATTAGCTTCAAATAATAAACTTGATTTTTAAAAGGGTTTGATGAGTGTGGTAATCTGAAGCACCGAATTTAAGAACAAATACTCCTTTAATTTCATTTGAGAGATGTCAGCATGACAGGCAAGGCCAGCATTTATTGCACATCACAATTATTCATCACAAAACGGTGGAGAGATGCCACCTTCTTCAACTGCTTCAAAGCAGGTAATTAAAGTACATCTACAGTGCTACTAAAGAGGAAATTCCATGATTTTTTCCCTACATACACAGTGAAGGAAAGGCAACATCATTTCAAATCAAGGTAGGGAGAGACCGAAAGAATTTTACATGGGTCTGTTTTTGTCCTTCTAGGTGGTCAAAGTTTTGGGGATTCAAGTTGCAGTTTAAGTGGCCTGGGAGAGTTGCAACAGTGCATTTGAGAGCTTATATACACACATTTCTGCCACGATAGCAGAGGTGGAGGAAATGTTTAAGTTGGTGGATGGGGTGTTGATCAAGCAAGCTGCTTTAGTCTGAACAACGTCAAGTTTCTTAAAAGTTGTTAAAGTGTTCTCTCATTCAGGCAACTGGACAGTAATCCGTTACATTCCAGATATGAGCTTTGTAGATGGTGGACAGGTTTTCAGAAGTCAAGAGTCATCACCATAGAATTCCTTGCCCCTAACCTGCACCTATGGCCACGGCATTTCTACAGCTTACTCAGTCAAGCTCAAGATCAATGGTGACCTGCAGGATGTTGAGATGGATTTGCATTATCTGAAGCTTTCCACATGTCTCCACACGCTTTAACGCCAATTAAGAATTTTTGTATGTTTCGACTCTGATGACTCTTCATTGGAACTGAGTTCTGAAGAAGAGTCACCAGACTTGAAACATTAACTCTGCTTTCTTCTCAGATGCTCCCAGACCTGCGGAATTTCTCCAGCAATTCGTTTTTGTTTCAGATCTCCAGCATCCATGGTCCTTGTTTTAGTTCAGAATTGTTGACATTTAACTGCTCTTAAGATACGAAATGCAGTAGCCAACCCGCACAAGTTCCATCACTCCATGGCGTCGTAGAATGTAGAGATTGCGGATAGCAAAAATCAATATTAGAAAGTGAAATTTTCCTAAATGGTGTCTCATTTACCACAAAATGACTCACCTATAAAGTTTCTGAATGGCATGGGCAGCAGTTTTCCGGACATATGGAGACAGGTCACTGGCAGCTTCCTTAATAGACAGCATCATTATTGGAACAATGATTGACACTCTAATACTGGAAAGAACTCGTAAAGCACTTGCCCGAATCAACTGATTGGGATCCTAGAATGAATTCAAGAATAAATAATAAAGCAAATTACTTACAGCCTTTTCTCTCCCTTGTAATCACATTTCACATTTCATTCATTCATGGGAATGGAGGATGTTGCTGGCCAGATCTGCATTTATTGCCCAGCAGGCAGTTAAGAGTCACCCACATAGCTGTGGGGCTGGAATCACATGCATGTTTAAACAGGAAATGATGGCAGTTTCGTTCTCTAAAGGACATTAGTGAACCAGATGTGTTCTACTGACAATTAACAATGGATTCATGGTCACCATTAGACTCCTAATTCAAGATTTTTTCTTCAGTTTAAATTTCATCATTTGCCATGGCAGGATTCAGAACCAGATCCCCAGAACATTACTTGGATTTCTGAATTAATAGTCCAGTAATAATCCCACCAGACTGTTGCCCAAGGTTCTCAAAAGGTTCACCTGACGCTAAATCTTGAAGCATCACGGCATTGATAAACCTGCAACTGAAGTGTCCATCAAAATAAAAACCGAAAGAACTGCAGATGCTGTAAATCAGGAACAAAAACAAAAGTTGCTGGAAAAGCTCAGCCGGTCAGGCAGCTCCTGTGAAGGAGAAAACAGAGTTAACGTTTCGGGTCCGGTGACCCTTCCTCGGAACTGATGGTGGCTGGGAAAATGTCAGTTTATATGCAGAAAATAGGGAGGTGGGTGGGATAGGGAGTAAACGATAGGATAGAGCCCGAAGATAGAGAAAGACAGTTGGACAGACAAAGGAGTGGCTAATGATCAGGCTGGGAGGGTGAATTAGTTGTTGATGGGAGCTGTTAGTGACTAACAACAGGGGGTGTGTACAGGCAGGCTATGTGGTCACAAGGCCTGGTGTGTGGGGTGGGGGGCAGAGACATGGGAGTGTTTAGGCCCTAACATTATTGAACTCAATATTGAGTCCGGAGGGCTGTAGGGTCCCCAAGAGGAAAATGAGGTATTGTTCCTTCAGTTTGCGCTGGGCTTCACTGGAACACTGCAGCAAGCCAGAGACAGAGGAGATGTTAGCCAGGGAGCAGGGTGGTGTGTTGAAGTGGCAGGCAACAGGTAGTTCAGGGTCTTTTTTTCTGAGCAGAACGTAGATGTTCTGCGAAGCGGTCGCCAAGTCTATGCTTCATTTCCCCAATGGAGAGGAGACCACATTTTGGAGCAGCGAATGCAGTAAACTAGATTCTGGAAAGTGCAAGTGAAGTGCTGCTTCACCTGGGAGGAATGTTTGGGCCCTTGGATACTGGGGAGGGAGGAGGTAAATGGGCAGGTGTTGCACCTTCGCCTGTTACAGGGGAAGGTGCCATAGGGCTGTGGGGAGGTGTTGGGGGTGAAGGAAGTGTGGACCAGGGTGTCCCAGAGGGAACAGTCCCTGCGGAAGGTGGACAAGGGAGGGGAGGGGAGGGGAATGTGTGTCTGGTGGTGGCATCTTGCTGGAGGTGGTGGAAATCGCGCCTGATGATCTTCTGGATGTGGATGTTGGTGGGATGGTAGGTGAGGATAAGGGCAACCCTATTGCTGTTGTGGGAGGGAAGAGAAGGGGCAAGGGCGGAAGTGCGGGAGATGGGTCGGACCCGGTTGAGCGCCCTGTTGACAACGGAGCCGGGGATTCCTCAGTTGAGGAAGAAGGTGGACATTTCGGAGGCTCCCTTGTCAAAGTTGGCCTCATCTGAACATATGCGATGGAGACGGAGGAACTGAGAGAATGGGATGGAGTCTTTACAGTAAGTGAGGTGTGAGGATGTATAGTCCAGATGGCTGTGGGAGTCAGTGGGTTTGTAACGGATATCAGTGGCCAGTCTATCCCCAGAAATGGAAACAGAAATGTCGAGGAAGGGAAGGGAGGAGTCAGAGATAGTCCAGGTGAAAGTGAGGGCAGGGTGGAAATTGGAGGCCAAATTGATGAAGTTTTCCAATTCCAGACGAGAGAGGGAAGCAGCACCGATGATATCGTCAATGTATCGGAGGAAGCGTTGTGGGTGGGGGCCAGAATAAGAGTGGAACAAGGAATGTTCCACGTACTCCACAAAGACACAGGCATAACTAGGGCCCATGCGGGTACCCATGGCAACCCCTCTTACCTGAAGAAAATGAGAGGAGTTGAAAGAGAAGTTGGTGAGGGTGAGGACAAGCTCGGCCAAGCAGAGGAGGGTGGTGGTGGGTGGGGATGGTTCAAGTCTTTGCTCCAGGAAGAAGCAGAGAGCCCTAAGACCCTCCTGGTAGGGAATGGACGTGTAAAGGGATTGCACATCCATGGTAAAGAGGTGGTGGCTGGAGCTGGTAAACTGGAAGTTTTGAAACCGGCATTAGGCGTCAGATGAATCATGGATGTACGTGGGTAGGGATTGGACCGGGGGGAGAAGACTGAGTCAAGGTAGGAAGAGCTGAGTTCTGTGGGGCACGAGCAGGCTGAAACAATGGGTCTACTTGGACAGTCTTGTTTGGGGATTTTTGGCAGGAGGTAGAAACGAGCTGTGTGGGGTTGGGGGACTATTAGCTCAGAAGCAGAGGGGAGGAGATCACCGGATGAAATTAGATCCATAACTGTCGTGGATACAATGGCCTGATGTGCCATGGTGGTGTCATGGTCCAGGCGAAGGTAGGAGGAGGTAGCTGAGAGCTGGCGCTCAGCCTCTGCAATGTAGAGATCAGTACGCCAGTCAACAACAGCACCACCCTTATCGGCAGGCTTAGTAACAATGTTAGGGTTAGATCTGAGTGCACGGAGTGCAGTCAGTTTGGAGGGAGATAAGTTGGATTTGTTGACGGGGCAGTGAAATTGAGGCGACTAATGTCATGTCGACAGTTCTCAACAAAAAGATAGAGCGCAGGTAAAAGGCCAGAGAGAGGGATCCAGGTGGAGGGAGAACGTTGGAGTTGGGCAAAGGGGTATGTGGGACGGGGAGAGGAGTCCTGTCCAAAGAAATGAGGATGGAGGCGAAGACAGCAGAAGAGGAGTTCGGCATCGTGTCTTGCCCGAAATTCATTAAGGTGGGGACGCAGAGGGATAAAGCTGAGGCCTTTGCTGAGTACAGAGCGTTCAGTATCAGAGAGCAGAAGGTTAGGAGGGATGGTGAATACCTGACAGGAGGTGGGGGGATTTGGGGAGGGGATAGAGTCAGTCAGAGGGGAAAAAGTGAGGAGAGGAAGGTTCCAGAGGGCTATGGGTATTTTTGAGTTGTTGCATCTTGTGGGCCTTGATGCCTGAAAGGAAAAGAAAAAGTTTGTTAGCATGTCGAATGAGCCAGAGGATGAAGTGGAACTGCGAAGTGGTGCAGCCCTGAGCCAGCACGTTGCAATGCTGTTGGAGAGAAATGTTGAGAGCGTGCACGTGACGCCGCACGGCACCACATGAAGTGTCCATCATTCTTGTGTATCATCTTAAAAAAACAAAGGACTTTGTTAACAAGTTTCAGGATAGTCAAACTCACTGCTGTTGTCAGCACAATGGTTAATCATCATGAGCTAATTTATTTCCATTTCCCCTTCTGTACTGGACTTCTGAGCCTCAACAATCAACTAAAGATTTAGTCATCAGAGGGGTTTCTGGAAAAGGCATGCCTGGAAAAGGCATGCATGAGTGGAAAGAAGGGTGTACCTGAATATCTGAAGTATAGGTTGCATTGTGCAATTTGTAAAAAGGGGACAGTATTGCACCATACTGAAAATGGGTGTATTGTGGGTGGAATTCTTTTTAATAGAGCTGCATGACATTCATGCAGTCACCACGAGAGCACCAAAGTGGTTTTATTTGCTGGAATGCCTTAGGAAGACGACTTTTACTCGAGTATGATGGGTAGATTTTCTTTGGTGAAACATTATTTTGGTAGAAAATAGAAATGGAGGGAGAAATATTTCAATAATATTATTGAAAAAAATTAACAGAATCAAAGGAAAACACATCTGAAACAAAATAGCTATCTGTAATCACAAACTGAGAAGTACAATATTCTATGATTCTATATTTACAAATCAAATTACTGGGATAGTTATGATTTATCCACGAATTGCATGAACATTTAGCAGTACTAACCTTCAGCGCACGCTGAAATGTGCTGATCGATAATAAGGCCAAATCTTGCTGCTCTTCTGCATAGCGAACAAGGTAAACATATACCAGCTTCTTCAACTGTAAAAGGGAAGGAGCAAAATCATAAACAGTTAGTGAATGATTTGTTCAAATAAATTGGGAGCTGTTCATAATGCAGAGCAGATTAATAACAAGACTTTTTTTTAAACAAACGGAACAACCAAGGAAACTTGCTAATGACAATTATACCTCTTTTCCCTGTGCAGTGCATGTCTAGAAGTTTGGATTTATTAATTGATCTCACACAGCATCACTTAAAAACCTTGGAAAATGTACACATTCCCCTTGTGCCACACTCACCACTTCCACTAAGGCCCCAATTCTGAGTGAAGCATCTATTCCTCAGCCATAAACCTGTCATTCTCAAAATACAGATATCTGGGAAGAGAAAAGCTAAAGACTGGAGGTGGTAAAACCCAAAACCAAGTCATCCTCAACACTTGCGCAGCAGTTACTCTCTCTCCTCCAATATCTCTCCTTCACCAGCTCAATTAATGATCATGGCACAGTTCCACTTTTGTCCATCCAGGGACATTCAAAGCTATTCTTCTTGCATCATCTCCAACATCTCCCACAGACAGAGCTTCGGCCATTTGGCAGCATCCCCAAAGACAGAGACTCAGCCCTACTCTCCAGAATCTGTCAGACCATTTACAACATCCATTCTTCACAGAAATGTTACCCGTCCAATGGGAAAACTGTCTCTCCTCCACCCCACCGACCCGGGCTTGCAAACGTACACGTGCATATTCTATATATTTACCTTCTCGACAGTCTTGTTTCATGAATTTCAACTAGAACACCTGTCCAAAACAAGTGTTATGGACCAGACCAGACTGCCTGAAATATATTAAAGGAGGTAGCCTAAATCCTAACTTTTTCTTATTTCAAACCTGAATGCAAGGTACTGTGTTCCAGATGCAATTCAATTGGTCAAACTACTTGACATTAAGAAAAACACAATTTATTCAAACATTACAGTAAAAATACAACTAAAGAGAGAGAAACTTGGAATGACTTAACTCTGTTGGAAAGGTTCATAGAATATTAGATCGTTTTACCACTAAATATTAACAGTTCCAATATAGTAACATCCCATATACACACCCACGGCAAAAAGGCAAATTCAGCAAATCGATTGTGCTCAGGTGGAAAAAACATCAAAAGACAATTCCGAGAGAAAACTCAAGAATGTAGCAGCCAGTAAGATACACTGCCTTCCAATCCTGCTGAGACCCCAGCAATAACTGCTGAAAGTTAATATCCTGGCTCTGAGAGCTTGACCACACCCACTCAGACTACTACCATTGTTCCAACTTTAAATAAAACCCCAAAGCCTCAAGTTGTTGTGGCTCATTCACTCGCTGAGCTAGTTCATTAGTTTGCAGACATTTCATTACCCTGCTGGGTAACATCATTTGTGCAGCCTCTGATGAAGCACAGTTGTATTTCCCCGCATACTATTTAAACTCGGAGGTCTGTTGGAGTTGATTACCTCATTTCTGGTTTTTCTTTGCAGTGGAGTGTATATACGGTTTAATTCCGTGTGGTTATTGATGGCCTTCTTGGAGGAGAACCAGGCCTCCAGGAATTCCCGTGCCTGTCTCGACTTGGCTTGTCCTAGGATCCTGATGTTGTCCCAATCAAACTGGTGGTCCTCCTTATCTGTATGCATGGAGACGAGGGTGTATTGGTCGTGTCTTTTTGTTGCTAGTTGGTATTCATGTATTCTTGCAGCCAGTTTTCTTCCTGTCTGTCCAATGTAATGTTTGTCACAGTCCTTGCATGGAATCTTGTATAATACGTTGGTTCTGTCCATAATGGGTGAGGGGTCCTTGGTTCTTGTTCGCAGTTGGCATAGGGTTGATGTAGGTGTGCCACTTTGATGCCCAGTGGCCACAGGATTCTTGTGGTCAGTTCAGATAAGTTTTTGATGTATGGTAATGTGACTGGCGTGTCGGGGCGTACTGTATCTTCCCATTGTTGTTTGTGCGACAGGCAGTGTTGAACCCAGCTGTTTGGGTATCCCTGGTCTCTAAATATTGTTGGAAGTATTCCTCTTTATTTTAGCCAAGTTCTGGGCTGCTGCAGTGTGTTGTGGCTTGTTTGAATAGTGTTTTCTCGCAACTCCGTTTGTCGGTGCTGGGGTGGTTACTGTTGAAATTTAGGACTTGATCCATGTGTGCGACCTTTCTGCATACCTTGGTCAGAAATGCCCCGTTGGCTCTGTGTTCTACCATCACGTACAGGAACGGGAGCTGTTTGTTCTTTTCTTCTGCTCTGGTGCATTACCCAGCAGGGTAATGAAACGTCTGCAAACTAATGAACCAGCTCAGCGAGCAAACCAACCACAGCATCCACAACCCGAGCTACAAATGTACTCAAGAATATTAGACCTCAAGTTGTTTATCTTCTCAGACTGCTGGGCACTTGTCTACCAATCTCTCTCTCTAAATGAAACAGGACAAAACCGACCTCAAAGCCACAGCAACGTCACACAAGTTTGCTTGGCCGTGCTAAACCATTTTGTCTCCTGCTTGCCGCTAACTCCTATTTAAAGTAACCATATTCAAAGCCCTCTTCCATTGAATCACCAAGCTCAGGAACGTTACTTTAATCCCAACTCAAAATGAACACACAATCCAATATCAGCCTCTTGTATGTCATACTTCATAAAGCTGTCTAAGATCTACTCTGTAGAATTCCCTCCAGCTCTACATCAAGCCCTCCTCGCAAATCCCTCCTTCAAACTCTCTTCCACCTAGCTCTCGGTCTCCATTCTAAACATGTCTTCCTTCAACTTGGTGACTTTTTTGCTTTTATCCTTTTGATATTTTTTCTGTTATTTAATTGTGCACTTTCTTAAAGTAGAATGTTGTCATTAACCCTTCAAAGGATTAGTTACAAATGCCTCAGAACAGGCCAAAACTATAGCTCAGATGTTAAAACATGAGGCTCTTCCTACATGGAAATGCAAAACCAAGTTGGAATCGGCGTCAAATGGCAAGACTGTACCAATTTCTCTCAGCATTACAGTCAATGGTTATACTGGCAAAGGCTGGGAGGCAACTAGTTTGATTCATAAAAGCAGGGCGGGGTGAAGGTTGAAGAAAATGCAATGCCACAATAAGAACAAGAAATTAAAAATTAAGTATTGAAAAAATTAAAATAATAAAATTCAAAATAGCTCCACTGAATTCTCAAAATTCAGGTCATATTGCATTAAAATGATAATGCCCTTATTGCAAGATATAAATATATAATTACTTATAAATCCAGAAACACCGTTCAGAAACAATATAGTGATAAAGTTGGACAAAAGCCTTTTAAAAAAAAATTGCATCAGCTTTTATTTAACATTCTAATATTCCTCTGCACAGCTACCAATATTAAATCAGTGAAGGTTGCAAAACAGCCGATTTGCTCTTACCCAGGTTTAGATTAGATAAAATCAATGCTAGCCACAAGAAACAACACAAATAATCTGACTGCAAATCCACAGTAAAAGACTTCTTTCCCAAAAAAACAACGTGTGACCAGAAACAGGAGCACACAGATGACGTGACTCTGCTCCCAGATGAAATGTTATTTCTCTCAGTGCTACCACGCTTCCTGATGTGATGCTAATCATAACAGTTACCCTGTCCAGCTTTAAGAACTGAAGCAGACCTTCCTAAGCAAGCAATTTAATTAATCCATCAATTCTAGTGCAGCAAACTCTGACATACTGGTCAAATCTTCGATTTTTTTTAAGCTATACCAGTGATTCATTAATGTTATTTTTGTATCACCTTCCAGGCTATGAAAACGCTCAAGCTATGAGTCAACCTTACATATGCAAAGCAATAATCTACATAATTTCATCCACAATCATAAAAAGAGCAAGAAATCAAATTTTGATTTCATAAAATGAAAGCTTTATTACTAAAGAAAGTAGGGATAGAACATCAAATGCAAGCATTATCTAAATAAATCTCGGGGTCTGCTTTGATGGTAATGTGGAAAAATCGGTAGAAAAAGGTTGTTTCTTTTGGATTAAGGGTAGAATTAAAGTAGACTAGATAAAATGGGCACGTTAGCTACAGAAAGTGTCCACAATATTATAGAAATAAAAACAGCAACACTTCACAGTAAATGGAACCTACCTCAATGTTTTTACTGGCGACATTCTTCACAACAGCAGGAAATAACTCTGAAGCATTTTTTCCTTTAGCAATCATCTGTAACATGAATTATAGTCTCAATTATAGACTCAGATTGGTTAACAGATATTCTTTTGTTAATTATGCAATGACTAATGCCTTGGTAATCCATTTAAATTTGTAAATGGGTTTTGTACCGTTATTACAAAAACGTGAGCTTTCAACAACAGCATAAACACAGCCGATTTGTGATGATTTGAAAGGAGATGGGAGGACGATAATACTGACAATTTATAATTATGTAGTAAATAATAGACATTACTAGCTTTAAATGCTCCGACTTGTATTGCCTTTAAAAAAGGCTTTTTGTTTGCATCCACAACTACCAACATCGTGCAGCATTGCTCGTCTCCCCACCAGTGTTGCAAGGCAGCACAAGATAGAAATTCAATACCAATTCTTTTATGGTTCAGTGTAGCAAGATCAATCATATCAATAGGAAACCAGCAAATAGCGCATATAAAACATTCAAGAAAAGGCAATGTTATGAAAGCACTTCTTTTAGCAAGATTGAGAAGAGACACTATTTTGATATTGAAAAGAAAGGTCATGGATTAGGATTGTGGGGCACCTTTCTTGCAAAACCACTTGTTAGATATTATTGCTTGGTGGCGCAGAACCTAAAACATTTCTAAAAAGGAGACAAGAAGTTGAAGCTTATTGACTTGCATTCTTCAGAATGAAGGCACAAGAAATGGACTTGAACAAGGGCACCATTTTATACAGCATAAGGAGGATGGACCATTATTGACACAGAGATCGCAGAAAGAGAAGTTAACTGTTGATCTTAACTCTCACATCAGGCAGATAGATTCTAAATGGTCAGTACGTAGCTACAGGGATACAGAGGTTGGCTGTCTCCATGCACCATTTTTTGTTTTGAAAAGATGCAATGCTAATTCCTTCTCCCCCACATAAAACATGGTCCTGTGCATTCATACACAGATTTCTAGCACACACAAATGCTTCACACCACGATTCCAAATGATTCTCTTCAATTGGGTTCTGGTCTAACTCTTAGCACAGTCCAGTTTATTTAGCACATGATTCTCAACAGCAGAATCACTTCTGGTAATGAATACGCCTTTGAGACTTGCAAGCATGGGCTGGTTCAGCACAAACAGCATGCTGCCTACTGCAACTTGGCAATGGGAAAGGATTGATACGGCTAAAATTTCTGGCATCACGCTGGCACTAAAACTCATTTTACTTCTCATTTGTGGGGTGGGCAGGGTGATGAGCGGGCGGCTGGAGTGCTAGGGGACAATGGAAAATTACGGAAATGTGGAAAGGGGGCGAGGGGCTCAGCTGAGGTTAAAAGTTTCCAGAACAAGGAAGAGGACAGAGTGTATGGAAATACAGAATCTACCCTCAGGCACAGGAGATAAGTGAACAACTACTGTAAGGGGCAGACTATGAGAGCAATTAACACAGGACTGAAGGTGTTGTACTTAAATGCATGCAGTATACAAAACAAGGTAGGTCAAGATACTGCATATTGAAATCAGCAGGTACGATGTTGTGGGCATCAGAGACGTGGCTGCAAGGAGTTCCGAGCATTCTATCAAAGGACAGGCAGATGGACATGGAGACAGAGTTGCTTTGTAAGTAAAAGAATGAAGTCAAATTGATAGCAAGAATTGATAGAGTCAGGAGATGTAGAATGTGTGGGTAGAGTTATACAGTTATTGAGTCATACAGCAGAGAAACAGACCCTTCGGTCCAACAGTCCACGCTGACCATAATCCCAAAATAAACTAGTCTGACCTATTTACACTAGGCCAATATCCCTCCAAACATTTTCCATTCATGTACTTATCTAAATGTATTTTAGATGTTGTAACTGTACCCACATCCACCACTTCCTCTGAAGTTCATTCCACACACAAACAACTACGTAAAGAAACTGCCCCATGTGTCTTTTATTAAAATCTTTTTCCTCTCATCTTACACGTGCCCCCTAGTCTTGAAATCCTCTACCCTAGGGAAAAGGCACCTGCCATTCACCTTATATATACCCTTATGATTTTATAAACCTCTAAGATCTCAGTCAACCTCCTCCTCTCCAGTGGACAAAGTCCCAGCCTACCCAACCTCTGCTTATAACAAACCCTCCATTCTCAGCAACATCCAGGTAAATCTCTTCCGAACCACGAGGAACCGCAAGTGAGAAAAGACCCTGCTGGGAATTATGTACAGGCCTCCTACAGGGCGTGGGGAAGAAAATAAATCAGGATACAGAAAATGTATGTAAGAAAGGCACAATTGCAATAACCATGGGGGGCTTCAACGTGCAGGTAGACTGGGAAAATCAGGTTGGTAGCAGATCCCAAGAAAAGGAATTAGTGGATTGTTTACAAAACGGTGTTTGGAGCAGCTTGTGGCAGAGCCCAATAGGGAACAGGCAATGCTGAATTTGATGTGTAATGAGAGACTTGATTAGGGAGCTTAAGGTGAAGGGAGCAGTGACGACGATACAATAGAATTCATTCTGCAGTTTGAGGGGGAGTCAGGTGTAATGACATTACAACTGAGTAAAGGTAACTACAAGCAATAAGGAGAAGCCGGCTAGAGTTGGTGGAAGGGGAGCCTAGCAGGGAAGACGGTTGAGCAGCAATGGTGAGAGTTTTTGGGGTAATTCAAGGGGCGCAGCAGAAATTCATCTCAAGGAAGAAACATGCTAAGGGAGGATGAGACAACCATGGCTGATAAAGGGAAGTCAGGGACAGCAATAAGAAAAAACAATGTGCTGAAGACTTTGAAAGTCAGCAGAGAAAACTGAGAAAGCAGTAAGAGAGAGATGATTACATGAGGGTAAATTAGCTAGTAATATAAAAGATTGCAAGAATTTTTTTAAAAGAATATCAAATAGATAAGAGACAACAGCGGATGCTGGACCACTGGAAAATGAGGCTGGAGAAGTAGTAACGAGGAACTGAATAATTATTTGCATCAGTCTTCATGGTGGAAGACACCAATAGGGTAGTTCAACTTAAATAGAGTCAAGGGGCAGAGGTGAATGCAGTGGCCATTACTAAGATGAAAGTGCTGGGGAAGCTGAAAAGACTAAAAGGTGGCTAAATCACCCAGACCAAACGAACTACACCCCAGAGTTCTGAAGGAAATAGGGGAGGAGATTGAGGAGGTACTGGTGGTTATCTTTTAGGAATCACTGGAATTAGAGATGGTGCCAGAGAACTGGAAAATGGTTCATGTAACATCCTTGTTTAAGAAGGGAGGGAGGCAGAACACAGGAAATTGTACGCTGGTTGGCCTGACTTCAGTCTTGGTAAGATCTCAGAGTCCATCATTAGGATGACATTGTGGAGTACTTGGAAGTACATGGTAAGATAGGGTTGAGTCAGAACTGTGTCAAGGGGAGGGCATGCCTGACAAGCAAATTAGAATTCCTTGAGGAAGTAACAAGCAAGTTATACAAAGGAAAGCAAGTTGATGTGATCCACTTCGATTTCCAGGCAGGTTTTGACAAGGTGCCACACAGGAGGCTAACAGCCCATGGTATTAGGGGCAAGGATTGAAAACAAAAAATGCTGGACATCAGTCAATATTCAAGAGATACAGCGCAAGTCTGAATGACTCTTCAGAGTGTTGGGGCAAGATACTGACATGCAAGAGGACTGGCTGACTGGCAGAAAGCAGACAGTGACGATAAAGTGATGTTTTTCAGGGTGGCAGCCGGTGACTAGTGGAGTTCCAGAGGGGTTAGTGTTAGGATATCTATTCATGTTATACATTAAACGATCTCGATGAAGGAATGGAGGGCATTGTCGCTAAGTTTGCAGATGACATAAAAGTAGGTGGAGGGATAGATACTGTTGAGGAGGTAGGGGGCCTCAAAGGACTTGGACAGGATAGGAGAGTGAGCAAATAGGTGACAGATGGAATATAACATGGGAAAGAGTAAAGGTTGTGTCCTTTGGTAGTAAGAATACAGGCATACACTATTTTCTAAATGGGGAAGGACTTCGGAAATCTGAAACACAAGGGGGACTTGGAAGTCAATTCAGGATTCTCTTAAGGTTAATTATGCGGGATCAGTTAGCAGTTACGAAGGCAAATGCAATATTAGTATTTGCTTCAAGGACGAGAATACAACAGAAGAGATGTACTGCTGAGGCTGTATAAGGCTCCGGTCAGACCGCATTTGGAAATATTGTGACCAGTTTTGGACGCTGTATCAAAGGTACGATGCGTTGGCCTTAGAGGTGGCCCAGAGGGGAGGATTATAATAATGATCTTGGCGACAAAGGACTTGTCATCGAAGGAGCAGTTGAGGACTCTGGGTCTGTGCTCAGTGGAGTTTAAAAAGCGTGGAGGATTTCATCGAAACCTAGAGAATAATGAGGGGCCTGGATAGACTGGACATGGAGATTATGTTTTCACTAGTAGGAAAGACTAGGACCAGAGGGCACAGCCTTCAGAAAGATGGCAGTTACTCTGTGGAATGCAGATCTGCAGAAGGCTGTGGAGACCAAGTCATTGAGTGTATTTAAGTCAGTAGTGGATAGGTTCTTGATTAGTAAGAGGGTCAAAGGCAATGGGGAAAACAGCAGGAGAGTAGCATTGAGAATTTTATCAGCCATGATCAAAAGGCACAGCAGATGAGCTGAATGGCCTAAATCTGCTCCTACATTTTATGGTCTTATGGAAAGTGGTGGAAGTAAGCCCTTTTTGGAATCTTCATGATGTACAAGTGATTTTTTTTTCACATGGTATCCATCAACATGCAGGATAGTTTTGGTGCAGAATAGTTTTGGCATGTGCTCTCACAGCACCAAGCATACTTGATGAGCAGATGGCTAGGGCCTTATTCAGTAGAGTGCCAACACGACAGACCTTGCAGCACATATACTGACCAACGAATCACAGCTTTCAGTATAATGGGAAGATCAGTACCTCCTTCAATATTCCAGTCCTGCACAAGTCTGTGCACTCCATTTCAATGCCCCAACCCCACTGCCTGAATCCATTTTTCTTCTCTCAGCACAATCAAGTGC